TGAAATTCATCTATCATCCACACCATAGGTGGTATTCAACTCACTTTTACTCAGAGTAGATTTATTAAAATTAGTGGACCTTAGTCATGTTCATTCATCTCAATGGGTCTACTATGTGTAAAAGTGAGTTGAATACAATCCCATGCATTAAAAACCCTCTTATACCGCTTGAACGGTTCTGGGGAGTCCTGGGAACTGTAGCCTGTTAATGGTGCTGGGAACTATACTTCTGTGAGGTCAGCACTACGGTTCTCAGGGTTCTCAGTGACAAAAGTGGTATAAGAGTGCTTCAGATCTATGGTGTGGATGTGACTGTAGACTTTTCTGTTAGTGAATACCAATATACATTCTGATATTTCAGTATTAAAGGGAAATGCCACATGTGTCTTATTTTAGAAGTTTTCATCCAAATGCCTCAGTGTTCGGGGAGATATTACAGTACTACCTTTTTCATCTTTTCTGAATCCTTGGAAAACAGATGTTGGGGCTAGAGAATGTTGTCCTGAGCTTGCACTCCCAATGAACTGGCTAAACCAAAGAGTGTGTTTTGCTCAGTCAATAAATCCCACCCCCCCATGTTCCAGTTTGCGGACTGAACTATAAGTAAGTTCTTGTCCAATAGTTTGAGCCCACAGCTACACACAGCTCTGGGCCTTATTAACTGACTCCAAATATGCTTGGAATTTGAAAGAAAAATCTCAAGTTTTTCTTAATTGGCCATGTTGCGCTATGTAGTCAGCTTATTCTTGTCAAACCCTGGGCTCCATTGTGAAGGAAACCTCTTGACAACAAAACAGACTTTTTGAAGTCTTAAGCATTGTTCACATGAGCAAGGGCTCACAGGATTAGGCCCAATATCACCCAATATGAATAAAACATAAGGCTCATTATACCTTTTGATGTTTGTATGGTTCCTCTCTTAAAATAGTCTAGAAGCTGTGCTTCACTTGCCAGAGTTAAAATCTCATTTTAACTGCAGTAGCAGAATCTGTGTACTTATGATTGCAGGCTGTGCTTTATATCCTTGAATCCTGGATTCGATAGAAACTACATAAACAAAGCTAAGAAACCTCTAAAGCAGATGGACAAGGATAAAATGTGGGACACATTTGTTATAAGTTATAAATCATCATGACTTTTGTCATGGAAAAGTCTTCCAATCGATTAGTTTTGTGTATGGTGCTCCTGAATATGCAGGAAAATGCATGAAGAGTCCAGTCCTATCACATGTCTGCTCAGAAATAAGCCCTAGTGAGTTCAGTTGAACTTACTCCAGTCTAAGTATATTTAGGATTGCAGCTTAAGTGATAGGAGGCAGTGAGGGCAGGATCAATCATTAATAGCACAATGCTATGCATGTCTACTTGAAAGTAAGTCCCACTGAATGTGAATATAAGATTGCAGCCTAAGATGCAAACAAGGGGTTCCTAAAACAGCGTTTGCATCATAATAATAATGCCGAAGCTGGGCATTTGCTGGGGGAAAGTCATCAGGTGTTTAGCTGGTGATATATTGCAAAGTCACATATCACCAAGCCCTACTGTTTTAGTTCCATCCTTGTTTCAGACATCATGATATATCAGTATATAACAATGTTTAGCTGGTGATATATCGCAATGTTGAAAGCTAGATATTGGCCAGCCCTACTCCGCACTGCTGCATTTTGTTGAAAGTCTCACTTGTACCTGCATCTTTCTAGAAGAGCACTCACTCATCTGTTATTGACCTTGAGCGAACTTTAAGCAGAAAGAACAACAAGTAATGAAAAAAGAAAAGAAAAGAAAAGAAAACAATGTGAAGCTTTTGTAAGATCTTATATAACTAGCTCAGCTATATCAGGAACTTGTTGTTGGTTTTAATTATATATTTATGGGTGAACTTCTTAAGCATTATGCCACCTCCATGCCACCTCCTTCTGACTTCTAAATGAGCTGATTTAATGAACCGCTCCTGGGGTACAGTTTTCATTCATTCCTCCATTTGACTCTGTTGTGCGTCGGATACTTACTTATTTGCTTCCTTTAGCTTTATTAATTGCTAGCAGCATATGTGGTTGTGCTGCTGAAGAAAAATCACACTGTCAAATATAACTTCCACGGAAAATGTGATATGTGTGAACTAGGATTTTTATTGTTGTCGCTATCTGGTATGATGAACCTATGAAATGAACTTCCCTTGTGAAAAAATAATGATCCAAGCACAGTGAACTTAATGAGAATGTATGCATGTGCCTCCCCCAACCCAGCAAAAATATCAAACCTATGTTTGCAAAGGTGCATCTGTAAAAGAAGCAAGTTCACTATTTTGCAAGTCCATTTAAAATATTGTGAAAGAAAGCCAAGGGGTTGTTGCTATGAGACCTGAGTAGGTGGTCAAAGTTAAAATTAGACTTCTGCCTACTCCCTATAAGTATTGAATAACAGTTCATTAGTTTTATTCTCTAAGAGGTGATAGATTTGGTTTTCTGTTCTATTTGTTTTCCTCTTTTGTGTTCTATTTCTTAGGAATCTTTTATCATCTTTTTACTGAGAAGTTGATGTGCTCTTGTTTCCCGTTCGCCGCTTAGAGTCCGTATGTAGCCTGATCATGTAGTACCCCACTTTTTGGATCAGTCAGAGTGCTGTGTTTTTTCACCTGGGTAATCTAAGACAATTAATACCCTTTTTAGTACATTGGCTGTGCAAATGTCGCTGATCCTCTGCATGTATCATTTGATACGCTATTTGTTACAGAAGACCTTTGCTCTGCTAAATTCCATGCCTAGGTTCAGTCTTACCCAACCTGGTGCTCCCCCACATGTTGTTGAATGCCAACTTCCATCAGCCCCAGGCAGCATGGTCAATTGTTAGGAATGATGGGAGTTGTAGTCCCACAAATCCGGAGGGCACCAGGTTGGACAAGGTTGCTCTACTCAATTAATTGCTCAAACATTTTATGAAACTAACACACACACATATTTTCAATAGTTGTGTAGACCGAGGAGCTGTGTCCACCCTGGACAGTGGTATATTATGGCCAGACAAGCTCTTGGATGCTGTGTTACATTGAGAACGCAGAATGGATATACTTTCCCCCCAGTCACTCCAGAATGCTTGGAAGTAATGACAGTAGAAACTCAGGTAGGATGTATACTGCAGATCAGGAAAGGTACCATTAGGGCCAAGAGAATGCCAGCATAGTTCATGAGCTGCATCAAGGAAGCTCTCAAAGGCAGGGCTTCAAAAATGGAAGTCTTTTCCAAATGACGACAACCAAAAGGAGCACAGACTTTGGCCAAAGAAATGCAAACTGGCAATAAGGAATGCAGAAAAAGAATTTACAGAACACGTCACTATAAACATTAAAGCTAATAAAAATATTTAAATACATTAGGAGCAGGAAACTGGCTAGGGAGATGGTAAAAAGGAGGCAAGGGAGTAAGGTAATTGCAGTGAGACTGAACAAGTTATTTACATATTTCATCACGGAAGATGAAATAACTTTCTCAGGAAGGTAGTCTGAGGAACTGCGGTAAAAAGTCACTCGGTCTGGTGGTATTCAGTGAAGAGTATAAAAGAATTTAATTTACTGATCTGCTAACAAAGATATAGTACTTGTTTGTAAGTTCAGCCCCCATATATGAGAACCAGAAATAGAACCCTTAAAAAAAAAATGGAATCCAGGGAGGATCTGGGAAATTAGAGGTTGGTTGTTTAACATCTACTCTGAGAAAAGTGGTGGAGAGCATTATTAAAATTAGAATTGTCAAACATATATAAGTCCTGCTGGAGAAGTACCATCATGGCTTCAGCATGGGTAGGTCTTGTCTAACTAACTTTCAGATTTGTTTGAGAGTGTCAGTAAGCACGTGAATCGGGGTGATACAGTACACGCTGTGTACTTAGACTTTCAGAAAGCTTTCCCTCACCAAAGAATTCTGGGTAAGCTTACCAGTAATGAGATAAGAGGACAGATCTTCTTATGGGTCAGTAACTGGTTAAAGGAAGAAAGTACTGGTAAACTGGAAAGTAGGAAGAAACGGACAGTTCTCACAATGGAGGGATGAAAGAAATAGGGTCTTTCAAGGATCAGTATTGGGTCGTGTACTTTTTACCTTGTTCATAACCTGGAGATAGGGGTGTGCAGTGAGGTGACAAAGTTTGCTGATAGCACCAAATCGTTCAGGGTAGTAAGAACAACAAGGGATTGCAAGGAGCTCCAAAATAGATAAATAAATCTCTCCAAACAAGGTGAAATGGGATTGAAGCAGCATATGTGATTCAGTGTATGCAAGTGTAATGGTGACGCACACTGAGGCAAAAAAATAAAAATAAAATCCTAATTTCACATATATGATTGTGAGGTCATGGAAATGAGTGCTGTTGGTGCATAACTCCACGAAAATGTTGACCCAGCATGTGGCAGCTGTGTAAAGGGCAAATTCCCTATAGCACTTGATGATGCCGTGGCTTATGGGATTGTGCCATTATAATTGCTTCATGCCACAGCTATGGGCAGTTGTATAGTGTAGAAAGAACTGGGGGCTGGGGTGGGGGAGGTAGCGCATCTCCAGGATTTTTTTCAGATCAGGAGCAATTACGTAACCAACTTGCCTTCCTCTCGCAATTGAATGTGACAAGGAGGCTTTCAGTGATGACGGTTTTGCTGTTATTTTCTTACCCACCCTTCACCAAAAAGTCCAGGGTGGGTTGCAAAATGTAACCCACCAACAGTACAATATTGTGTACTGTTTCAAGTTTTGCTATTGTTTGTGATGGATTAGCATGGAGGAAGTCGGAGAATGGGGATAATAATACAGCAGAGCCTAGATACGCCTTTCTTTTGATGGACTTCCAATTTAAATGGATTGCATTTCTAACAAAAAGCTACAGGTTGCATTTCGGGTGGTTGAAGATATTTTGTTTATTGTCTTTTACAAGTTGACTGAAGGCTAGCGGAAGTAAGCATCACTTTACGCATAAGATTGAAGCCATGCCATGTGGTTGAACAGAGATGTTGCCCCCAGATTCTCCCAGCCCAACTCCAACATGCGAGTTCCACCCTTTATTAGCTCAATATACTATTACTGTCAGCTGAGCCTAATAAATTGGGTATTATTCTATGTACTGCTGTTCTTTAGGAGGTATATATAATGGATCACCACTGCTCCCTTATCTGAGGTATTACTATGGGATATCATGGGGCTGTCATGATGAGCTTCTGCAAAAATTTCCACTGGCTATGGGATCTTTAATAAGCTATATTCTAGGCAGTTGGTCAGAAAAAAAGACAATAACATGCTGGAAGATGCAGAACTGCCATATCCTACTGCCAATCTGGCCTGATTTCTTTTCTTTCCAGTTTCTCCCACCCCAGGGACTACCACTTGTTCCAGAGTTGGAAGAAAACAGCACAACACAAACATTTATTTGCAAATTTCAAACAAATGTTACCAACAGCTTTGGCTTTTTCTTTCTTTCTTTTTAAAGCAGCAACACCAGAACTCATGCCATCAGATTTTGGGAACTCGCACTCCCTGAATATATTCCAAAATATTCAGTGATCATCTATGTTTTTGCTTTAGACAGTTGTATTAAGAATCACAAAGGAACGCCATAAACACTAGGAGCAGCGCTGTTCTCCAAGGCTCTTTTGATGTCTGTCCCCTTCGTCTGTTTTCCTCGCAACAATCACAGAAGTAGAGCCACCTTCCACATTGCGACTGTTTCCCAGACAAAGGTTATCTGCACAAAATTTTCAAATTTTGAAACATTTCATTATTACAGTAATGACTATTGCTACTCTTAACAGACATGCTGTCAGGTTGCAAAATGTATACATTGGTTCGTGCAAGGGGGGGGGAAGAAAGCGCGAGAGAGAAACCCCCTTTTTTTATTAAAACACACACACATACACACAACAAAGGTCAAAACTTTTAAAATGTCACTTCTTCTGCAGTTTTGCATAGAAAATACACTGAGTCAGTGGGAGGGCTCCTTGTCCATAGAAACAGGCTGTAAGAAAAGAATGTTATCCTGCTGTTGTAGTTTCCACTTTCACTGGCAGCTGCGGTCTGAGCAGAAAAGCACTGTGGGAGCCTATTGTTACCCCAGCTGGGTAATAGTTTTCTTATTTTACAGTCAGGAACCGAGGGGGGTTGGGGTGCCTCAGCAAAGTGCCTGAAAATATAACTCCTGCAAACAGATCGCTTTCCTTCTTCCCAATGAGAAACAGGCATCCATAAATCTTTCATTTTGGCCCTCCAATCAAGGAAATGAATTTCTCTAAACAAAAGGAGGACTCGAATTTATTATTATTATTTATCATTTGGGGGGGAGAAATAAAATAAACAAACAGTGCGTAAAAAGGGAGGCTGCGTGATTATCATGCTGAATTCACCTTGAGGAACGCCATTCCTTGCTACAATGCTGAGTAATGCAAATTGGTGTTTAATTATTATTTTTTAAAAACCAATGTAAGAATTGACACAAAACAGCATATTTTTTGACATAAAGCTTCGTCTTTTTTTGCTTTAAGAAAAAGTCTCCCGTGAATGGGATCCTATACATGGGTGTAAATGGACTGGGTCTACAATTCAAAAGATTAATTAGCTGCAGAACAACCGTTTATATTTGTCACTAGTTTATCCAGTTAATGAGGCTGATTTTAGTTGCCATGGCAACCTAAGTTTTAAAGGTGAAAGGTCGCTGACCCAGTCATAGAGCCTTACAATCTCTTTTGGGGGCAGTTAATATCCCAGAATTTGTCAAACCAACTAATCATAATGCAAACCCTTCAGTATAGGTAACGTGATTTCTATAGGTCCCAACCACACAGTTTGAATTTTGAAATCTGTCTGTGATTTTCTCATTTCAAAGTGAAGAATGCAGTACAAAATTAAAAAAAAATAGGTATGGGTTTCTGCAGTTCATAAAAAGTAAATTCCATGACAGGGACTATTATGGAAGAAGGCTAATTTGATAATTGGATCAGTGAAGTATGGAGAAATTTGTGCCACTTTGCTATATTGGAGGTATTTTCGCTGTATTCATTTGGTTAAGTAGAGGGCCTTATTCTCCACAAGGTGATTTTCTAAATCATTATTTATCCGCTTTTCAAGAAGAAGTTCTCAGAGTGTTTAAATTACATAATAAAACCATCTAAAACTTAATAAATTCTCTACTACACACTTCCTTAAACCTTTTAGGCCTGGTAAGCCAAATAGTATCAGCACCTTCTGGCTTTCAGAACCTTTGGCAAAGGAGGCTGTCCTTGCTGGCAGAACATTGATGCAAAATGACCTCTCCTCATGAGGCTGCTGTTGTTGCCACACAGGACACGCACTGGCCAAGGGGAATAGCGCCTCCCCAAACAACCAGGTCTAGGTATCACAAAATGTGAGTGTCCAAGGAAGGCAGTGTCCCCTGGGCAGATGGTGTCAGTCATACGTACCAGCTCTCAAGCCATGTGACTTCTAGTCTTGTGAAATTTGGTCCACTGTATGTACAGAGAATACAACACCATATCTCAAACTCACTCTAGTTTCTGAATATATATATATAGGACTCTTCTCAAGACCCAGATTGTCTCCTGCACAGTGGTGTTGCGGGTTCACTTCATGATGGGGGAAAATGGTAATTTGAAGGACCCTTTAGATCAGGTCATAGCCATTTTTCCTTGCTAAGTGGGATAGCCATGGGGTAGCTAAGTGGGACTTCAGTGAAATGAATGGAAAAACAAGTGAGTTTGGCAGGGTGAGCATGAAAAAAGTCAGCAGTGCTAGCCAATTGGGAGCCCTTGGCTCCTCTCTTGTTTTATTATTTACTGAATTCCTTTATGAACGGTATAACAACAACAACAACGAAAACAACAACAATTTATTATTTGTACCCCGCCCATCTGGCTGGGTTTCCCCAGCCACTCTGGGTGGCTTCCAACAAAGATTAAAAATACATCAAAATTGTCACACATTAAAAACTTCCCTGAACAGGGCTGCCTTCAGATGTCTTCTAAATGTCAGGTAGTTGTTTATCTCAGGTAGTTGTTTATCTGATGGGAGGGCGTTCCACAGGGCGGGTGCCATCTCTCTCTCATACACACACACACACACACACACACACACAAACTTAAAACAATTACATAAATTAAACAATATAACAAAAATAGTACATATATACATAAAATCAATTCAGATCCAATACTGTACGTATACCAATTGGGATAATGATCTTCATTTTGAAAGCATGTTGAAAGTGGAATGTATTTAGAAGACGCCTCCAAAAAACAAAGCTTGTCAGATAAGTAACATGAGCAAATTCCAAAGGATGGATGTCACCACACTAAACACCTATTCCAACATCATGCAGAATGAACCTCCAAATGGTATGGCACCTACAGATGCAGTGATTGGTTGGGCATGTAGAGGGTTGAGACAATCTTTTAGTTCCCTGTGCCTTCTACCTGAGGTTTTATTGAGAAGGATGCCAGCCCACAAGGGATGTCTCAGGGGTCTTGCATTTTGCCTGGCCATTGCCACTCTCTGATGGGAGAAATGTGATCTGAATATGTGGGGGCAAGGAGTGGCATCATGGGCAGGAGAGTCCAGCTCCCAGGTGGTTTAGCTTAGGGGGCTCTAGGGATGGACAAATCTGTTGATTTTGTGTGTCTCAGTTTCTTCCCATTTTCACATTAGTGCGCCATATATTTCTTTAAGCCCTTGCAAAAATGTATCAGCATTTTAGTGCAAGTTTCTCCTAATTTCTGCAAGCAATTTTACCTAATATAAGGCACTTTTGTGTGTTATTTTCACAAATATGTGCATTTTATGCACACTTTATACTAGTATATGCATCTTTGTACACATTACTTGGCTGATGAACTGGACTACAAAATTCAGGGAATAACAAATTTTGAAGGTGGCTGAGCTTTGGTGTGCATACTGTTTTGAAAAGTGCAGGTGGATACACCTGGAAATGCTGGTTGAATTGCACTTCTCCCCCATTCCTAAGAGGATCTTGCTACAGGACGAATATGTTGTCTCTCCCTTCTTTAAATTAAATATTTCCCTCTTTGTGTATACTCACAAGTATTAATCCCCCCTCCCCCCGTTCTAAAACCAAGTTTTAAAGCTGTCATGCCGCAAATCTCTCTTTTGTAAAAACAAACCCTAAGTAGGGTTAAATTCTGATTAACAAGACCTAGAATAGTAAAGGATACAACCAACAAGATGCTGCCCTGGGTTCCCTTTGGGTCAAAGGACAGGATAGAAGTGTAATAACAACAACAACAAATTACTTTGAAAAGTGCAAATTTCGTGTCTGTGCATGTGTGTGATTAGTATCTTAAGAGACACGTGCAAATAAGTAAAAATAAACACACGCACACACATATAATCGGCATAATTTCTGTGGGGTCTCCTTGATTCCACATTGTTATACTTCAAGTTAAATCAATACCTTAGAATGCAGGTCAGAGCCTTGCTTGAAATGTATGAGTGATTTGCCAAGTGTAATTGCTTAGGACATGAAAATATAGATAGATAGAAGGAGATTTATTTTAAGAGATACTTTGAAGGATGTGGTATTCCTACCCATTAAACTTCAGTGTCTGAGGATAGATAGATAGATGATAGATAGATAGATAGATAGATAGATAGATAGATAAAAAGGTAAAGATACCCCTGACCATTAGGTCCAGTCGCGGACAACTCTGGGGTTGCGGTGCTCATCTCGCTCTGTAGGCCGAGGGAGCCAGCATTTGTCCGCAAACAGCTTCCGGGTCATGTGGCCAGCATGACTAAGCTGCTTCTGGTGAACCAGAGCAGCGCACAGAAACACCGTTTACCTTCCCGCCGGAGCGGTACCTATTTATCTACTTGCACTTTGACATGCTTGCGAACTGCTAGGTTGGCAGGAGCAGGGACCGAGCAACGGGAGCTCACTCTGTCCCGGGAATTCGAACTGCCGACCTTTTGATCGGCAAGCCCTAGGCTCTGTGGTTTAGACCACAGCACCACCCGTGTCCCAGATAGATAGATGATAGATAGATAGATAGATAGATAGATAGATAGATAGATATAAAAACTGGTTGTTATGAACATCTGAAACTGCCTTATACTGAGGGCAGATCCACACTGTACATTTAAATCTCACCCAGGGAACTGCAGTGTCTCCCTCACAGTGTCTCCCTCACAAACCAAAAATTCCCAGAACTCTTAAAAAACTACAGTTCAAGTTAGACCAGTGCTTCCTCTAGATTTCATTATCTAGCACTGATAGACGGAGGCTGCCCGAGGTTTTAGGCCAGGGTCTTTCCCAGCCCTACCTGGGACTAGAACTGTGACCCTTCTGGATGCAAAGTGAATGCTTTGCCACTGGGCTATGGCCTGTCCAGTTGTTGTCAAATGCACATAAGAGGTATGTGTATGTCAGAATCTCCCTATTTTCTAGGGACAGTCCTTGATTTACAGAAGCCGTTCTGGTTTCTGATTTGATCCCAGAATGTCCCTCTTTCCCATAGGATGTCCCTATTTTCATCGGATAAATGGGTAGGGTGATTCAACCCTCAAGGCAAATGGATAAGTAACTTTACAACCTTTTAGAAGACATCTGAAGGCAGCCCTGTATAGGGAAGGTTTTTCTTAATGTTTATTTTGTTTTTAAATATGGAGAAATGTTGGAGGATTTGGTATGTGTGCCAAAGAGGCAAGCAGGAGGGGCTACTTGAACTTTTCTCAGCCAGTGCTTTCCCACTGAATGTCTTCTCCCTAGCCATTCTTTATAGCCATCTGAGTTATGGAAGTCACCCTCCCTGGGAGAAGTGGGAGGGTGACTTGGGGAGAAGTGGCTTCAGAAGGAGCAAAGTGAAGAGTACAACACCCCTCCCTGCCTTCTCCTTCTGCTCTTCCCGTCTCTCTTCTCATCCCTGTTCTATAGGAATTTGGTATAACCTGCATTCAAGCAGGTGCATCATGGCAACTGGTTACATCTGTGCTTAGCAGGATGGCTGGGCTATAAAAACAGGCAAAGTGACAGACGTATTAAATAATATTTCTTTAGTTTGTTTATGTGAAACTTTTTTGTCCAAGAGTCAACTTGGCTACTTCCTTCCATAATAAAAGTCACAGGACCAGTATCCTAGTGGATGCTGGAGTTACAATGTCCATTTTTAGGCCATTTTATAAAATGCAAGGATTACACAGCATCGTGTGAAACTGGGTCACTCTCCCTTCAGGAACTCATGTGGCTGGTGAATCACCTTAGGGACACAGCACAACAAGAGCATCTACTAAGCCTGATAAATTCCAGCTGAGCATATGCTGGAGGGCTTGGCAGATAATAATTGAAATATAAAGGAAAATGTTTTCTCTCTCTGCCACACATGGCCAAATGGCCTGTATACCACCTGTAGCTCCTGACAATGCCAGCTTATGAAGGAGTTGCCATTTACATCAAGGTGCTCTAGTTATGAGATGTTCTCCTACTTTTTTTTTAAACTATATAGTTCTCTATGGCATTTCTGCTGTTCTGTTATGGTTCTTATTATTTCATGGTGCTATCATAGAGTCGGAAGGGACACTGAGGGTCATCTAGTCCAGCCCCCTGATTTGTTTTTTCTTATATTATATTAGATTTATTATAAGAACAGTAACAAGAAAACGGTGCAAAAATGAAGCCGACAACAGGAGAAGATGCAGTTCTTAATTCCTTGAGTTTAGCACTTTCATTTTGAAGGTGGGATGAGAGCTTTTTCTCAAGCTGAACTGCTCTCTTTAGTTGCTCTCTTAAATATACCCCAAGAGGAAGCGAAGGAAGGCTGTGTGTGCAAACAATCCATAGGATAAAATGATGTTTACCTGTTTTAGTTTGGTCCATCATCTATTCCACATGGATTTTTATAATTCCAGTCTAAGGCTGTTCCGCTCTCAGAGGCATCAGCTTGTGAGGACGATTGTGTGTGTGGGGGGGGAATGTTGGCTTGTGACGTCACGCTTGACATCAGGATGTTGGGAGGAGCTGGGGTGGGGCTGTGCGGCTTAAATGGCTGGTGGCTAGCCTCTTCTGCCACCTCCTGGCACTGCCCCCAGCAGGAGGCCCCTTCGACCCTCCTTCCCCTCCACAGCAGGAAGAGAAAAAGAAGGAGCCAGGCACTGCGTGGCTCTGTGTTTTACCTCTGTGCTTATTGGACATGGGGGGGGGGGGCAGCTCCACCCTAAAAATATTCAGGGGGTCCAAAAGGGCTCAGCCATCAGGAGCTGCCACCCGTGTATACTCCCACAGTGCTTATGGGTGGAGTTCAGTGTTGCTCTATGACAAACATTCTGTCTCTGCAAGCCGTTGACTTTGCCAGACAGAACAGTTCCCCCTCTCCTCCCCCATGCCCTATTCGGGGGGGGGGGTTCCCTTGATCCCAAACAGCCAATTTTGAGGGGCATAGGGATTGCAGGTGGAGAAATTGAGGGGAGAGCCCCATTGCACAATCAAAAGTCCTTGCACGTTTCAGCTGATTGGGCTCATTAGGTGATTGTTATGTTGGATTAATGTAGGAAGATCAGAATAGTCTCACATTTCTAGAGATTGACCTCTTTCTTTCTTTCTTTCTTTCTTTCTTTCTTTCTTTCTTTCTTTCTTTTCTTCCTTCCTGGTTAGTACTATTTTGTAATGATCGCAACATAGTCATCCATAATTTCGCAGAAGCATGCTTAAGAGGCCTGTTATTCCTATTGGGAAACATTTTCTATTTCAACACAGCTAGAGAAGGAGCCCCCACAGCAGCTCTGGAATTTATGTGCTAAGCTCAAGGGATCAGTGTTGCATCTTTTACTGTTGTCTGATTTATTTTTGTTCTTTAAATAAATGTCACAGGCACCTGGGAGAAGTGCCAGCTTACTTTCTTTATAAATAATAAAAGAAAGCATCGTAATTGATAGATGGCATAAAAAAAAAATCCACGTTGGAAAGCAATTTACACTGCAAAGTTTGAATGAGAAAATGCATTAGTTTTAATTACTTGTGCCATAGTATCTTCTAAGGGCACATGGGGAACGGTCTCAAAATGCTGATAGTGAAAGAGAGTGTTCCTCAGGATCCAGTTCTCCATAGTGGTTCTCTAAAGGACTGGAAAATGAACATATCTCAGCAGATGAAAAGCTTTATAATGGAGATATGGTTTATGCACTCCTTTATTGCTGCCGGATGCCAACAACAACAACAGGTGGCATCCAAACCCATTACCTGTTCTTTTCTGTATTACATAAAAGTTTTGAGTATCTAGGCAAGGCTTTGAATTTTGACGACCTGGTGAGAATTTTTTTTGGGAAAGAATTATGCAGCCAAAACAAGATTTAGTCATTAAAAGAAGAATTCCAAGCTTATCGAAAGGAATGTAACATGGCGGTTAAACTACTAGCTGCCACAGTTGTAACTATCGCCCCTGTTTTCTCTAACGGCAAATGGCAAATTTAGTTTCCTGTTTTACTATGGGTTATGGCCAGTCACTCTGCTTTTGGGCACAAATTCTGAGGTGAACAATTCAATACTCTCTCATGGGTAGTTAGGATCTATAATCGTTAGCCAGGCGGGCGGGGTATAAATAGTAAATTATTATTATTATATAATAAGAACTTCATAAATATGGAGACCATGCACACGGATGCCATTAGGTCACTGGCTGAGGAAGACATGGGCCTTTCGAAGCATCCACTCAGGCAGCATATTGTCGGTGGTTACACTGTATGCCTTTCCACAATGGGCATAAAAATAGCAATGCAGCAAACCGTATCGGAAAGACACATGGGGGTTCATTGCTTCTTTCGTTATGAGTTAGAGCATTTTCTTTTAAATACACTGGGGCCTAAGAAAGTGACTTTGTGAGCTAGATCTGTCCTATAGCCCTTCATTTGTCTATCCCTAATAAGAGAGGTTGTTATAAGTGTTGTTGTTGCTGTTGTTGTTGATGATGATGATGCTTTTTTCTTTGCCTAGCAGGGCCTGAAAGGTGTGCTCATTTAATTATAGGGGAGAAAAGACCTTCAAACATTCCAAAATATGTAAGGTGGGGCGGGGGGACTCTTAGGGCTGTGGCCCATGTAGGGTCAATGGGTGCAACACCCATCCTGGAATATTGATCGCCCCCCCCATAAAAACAAGATTTATTTATTTTTTAAGCACAGTTTAACATTTATTACAAGACAGTTTCCATTAAAGAGTATTTTTACAGTAGAAGAAAAGGCTTGGTTAAAAAATGAATCTTCAGCTACTATGAATGTGAACAATGTGTTAAAAGGAAGTAACATAAGAAGGGAAATGGGTTATCACAGAGCAGTGACCCCAAAATGGTTATCTTCTACTGTTACCCTGGCACTCTGCAATGCCCTTCCCTCTGGCATACACGAAACATCATCCATCAGCTGCTTCAGATGTTTTGTAAAGACATATAATTTTGTCCTGGCTTTGCCTGACCCATAAGATTGTATCCTGTTATTACTGAATTTCTATTTCGATCTGTTTTCATAATACTGTTTTCATGGGGGTTTTTTTTGGGTTGCACCTCTGTTTTTATGATGGCATTTTATTGTTTCCATTTTGTATTTTTGCATACCACTTTGAGATTTTTCAGTATTAAGAAGTACTCTTAAAACAAATGAATAAAATGAATTCTGGCCAGGAAGTAGCAGCTCGACCACTGGCGAAGGTGAAGGAGAAGCCATCTCTGTGATTTTCTGCTATTCTAGGCTGGAGCAGGGCAGGGTTTTTCCCCTGGCTGCCACCTGTGGGAGAACCACTGAACACTTCTGAATTCTTAAAATTATTGTTCTCATTCAGCTTACACATTTCCAGGGCTAGCAATTCCTAGACACTAATGACACAATCCTATGCACAATTACTTGGAAGTAAGTCCAACTATGTTCAGTGAAACTCTCTTCCCCCTACGGATGTGCATAAGACCACAACCATAGACACTTCAGCTTAGCAACAGGATTCTGGAAGCTTCCGTTGGTTATGAAAAGATCACTGATTTTCCATTCATTTTCTTTGAAATGCCACCTGGAGATATGGCAACACCACCTAGGGAGGAAGATGGTTACAGCCATGACAAAGCTGATTGTCCTATAGTACCCTAAAATAGCGGTGCCCTATTCTGTAAAGATATATATGTGTGTGTGTGTGTGTGTGTGTGTGTGTGTATGAATAACCCATTCTTCTGTTAAAATATGCAGGCATTCCTACGGCCAAGACAACCTACAAGTGTATCATTTGTGGGTTTTTTTAAATATGCACTCTTCGTCTCAGCAAATGAGATGGAGTCTTCTTAGGGGGAGGGCAATTTCGTAAAGCCATTAATTTTTCTTGCCATTTTAATTTTTATAAAAATAAAAAATGGCGACAGGATCCTTGAGAAGAAGACAACAAGCAAAGCTAGCTAACCAGCGCGTTCTCTTTTGTGAAGTTCACAATGACTGAGAAGTAAATTGCTTCTTAATAAGTTTTGTATTCTCCAAGGGTATGGTTAAAGGGTTAATTTAACGCTTGACCCATTAAAACCACTGAGTGCAGTGAGAACCTTACACGGCTGATCAGATGATTATTTCTGGGAGATAAGTGGCTGAAAACTGAGCTTCACTAGTTCAGGTAATCAAGGGAAATCGGCATAAAAGAGAAGATGCGGCTGAGTAAAGACAGAACAGCTACCTGAGATTCTATTACTTGTCGTCTTTCAAGCATAATAATGAGATTATAGTAACCCTAAACTGACTGAAAACAGAAATCTGGCTGTCTGTCAAGTTCATTGTGTTGAGTTTTACAACACTCCAGATCTGGTTCCTCTCTGAACCTGCCATAATTATACCAGGAAGACAAATTCAAAGAAACTTTTTTCAATCTTGGGTTATTGTCAGGGTTTGGCTTATGACCAACATAACCATTGTTAATGACATGGAGAATCTCGTTAATGCTTCTCCCCCCCCCCCCCCCCCGTGAGCCTATGCTAAGCAATATCACGATATACACCACTGCAAATATTTTTACATTGCATCTGTCACAGGGTCCCAAATTACTTTGCTATTGATCCATGCTGTGGTCTTGTGGTTATTCAAGTGAGAAAGCTTGGCTGTTTTTGTGTGTGTGTAAGTCCCATCATTTTTCTACCTCTTTAATAGAAACATCCAATCATGTCAGGGAGCTACAATTGAGATCCTAAACATACCTACCTGAAAATACATTCAGTTGTAAAACAGAAAGGAAAGGCACAGTCCTACTTCTAAGTTTGTTTTTGTTTTAAGAATCAGGTGAAAGTTAACAGTGCTTATGCTATTACCCGCCCCCCAAAAAAACCCCATCAAACAAATATTAGCACCATACTTGTATGGTTTTCAAAGGCTCATATATCTCCCAAGTAACACATCATTTTTATTATCGCTTTCATCCTCAGCAGGAGAGCCAGTGGTCTTGAATAGGCAGAACCAGGACCAGAGTATACATTATGGTTGTCACAAGTGTGTGGCTGAAAATTGTCTCCTTGACGCTTGTGCTCATTGTTATGCCATAATCCTCATATGTGTTTATAATTTGGTACTTGGCCACCAGATTGGCTCTTTTCCTGCCTTGAGAGCTTCTGGGGTTGGTGGATGGAGGTGGAGAGTCTCTAAACTACCACTGGCATGTGAACTGAATGCACTGCCTGGTTGCTGCTGTGTAGCAACTGACGAAGGTGATGGCACAGTGGTCAGTTTTGAAGTGCAGGACGGAGTTCCTAAGAGAGCAGTCATAGTCATGCCACGAATGAGAATCTTGAAATACAGGCAGCTGTGCTGATCCGTCATTATACAAGAAGGGGCTGTAGCTCAGCAGTAGAGCATATGCTTTGTATGCAGAAGTTCCAGATCATCATAAGAAAACATAATAAGAAATCAAAACGAAAAGAATAACCCTACCACTAGCTGACACTGGACAGCTTCCTATGTTCCTGTGCATACCCACCAAGACCAGCTGGGCCACCTCAAAATCTTTCACTGCCTCAGGCAATATACAAGATGCTCTTCCCAATTACACATACAGAAGTTGACCAGACTGGTTGCTCAATCTGTCTTCAACACAGGCAATGGGACAGTGTCCTCCATGGTGGAATTCTGCTGAGAACAGAAACTCCTCTCTTCAGCTGAGCAGAAGGAGTAGCTAGACACTGATGGTGGGGGATGGGGAATGAGGTCCAGACATTAAAAGCACATTTGAGGGGGCAGTCAGCATTCCCTCCCTCCTTGCACGGAAAGCTCTGCACGTGTACATCAGCATATGTGAAGGGGCCCTTCTCGCAGTTACCAAACACATGGGAATGGGGCATACCAGTGTATGGTCTGCATGGGCAGAGGTAGCTTGCATGGCTTGCAGCCCCTTCACATATGCTTTTAATGCACAAGGTGTCAATCTGAACCCTCCGTAGCAACATGGCATGTAGATACAGGTATAGTTAATGCAGAGTGGAGTCCCTAAGGTGGTTGGATGGCATATTGTACGCCTCCTTCCAGCAATCCTGCAGCCCAGCTGGTGCCAAATGTATTGAATTCCTTTCCTTTGGATCACATCAGTGAGGCTGAGAGGTGGGTCTTGTCATCTAGGCAGTCAGGGACCTCCATACACACTGCCCAGGCTTGTGCCACGGAAAAGTCACTTTGGTGCTGCAAACACAGCAAAAACAATGCCTGGAGGCAGCAGTTACCAATGCAGGGCTGAAAAAAGCCCTTTAGCTGCTGGGTAGCTCAGTTGGTAGAACATGAGACTCTTAATCTCAGGTTCGTGGGTTCTGAGATGCTGTTCTCTGTTCCTAGGAATCTAGTGTCAGTTCTTCTATCTACCTTGGCGACCAAAGGCCTAACTCATTCACTCATATAGAGTCTGGGGTCTTATAAATCTTATCAGATCAGCCTGGTCCCCAATGTACTTGGAATCTCAGTATCCCTGACAGTTGAGGTGTTTCTCTCTCCTTCCTGCTGCCACTCAGCTGCCACACCCTGTCGGCTCCTCCTGCCTGTTCCTCAGAAATACCAGCATGCACAATTGCCAGCAGTGGCCATCAGGACAGCCCAAGTGGGGCTATATTGCTCTCCAGGGTTCTTGACACTGTGCATTGCTGCCAGTTCCTGAGATGGGGAGAAGGAGGGGCAAGGCAGCAGGGAGCTTAGCATAGTGCTGGTGCAGTGATGGATCCAATCCAAAACCCTTGATGCTGTTCCTTCACTGTACTGAGCTCCCTGCTTCCTTGCCCCTCCCTCTCTCAGTACAGTGGTACCTCGGGTTACAGACGCTTCAGGTTACAGACTCCGCTAACCCAGAAATAGTACCTCGGGTTAAGAACTTTGCTTCAGGATGAGAACAGAAATCACGCAGCGGCAGTGGGAGGCCCTGTTAGCTAAAGCGGTACCTGAGGTTAAGAACAGTTTCAGGCTAAGAATGGACCTCCAGAACGAATTAAGTTCTTAACCCGAGGTACCACTGTAAGTGGCAGTGACGTCTAGCACTGGGAGGTTGGTACAGTGACACAGCCCTACCTGCATGGCCCACGCAACTGCTCACTGGCTATTGTAATACTTGAAAGAGCTTGGCACAAGGAGTGGCACATCTCTATCTCACATATAGATAAAGGGAAGTAAGTTTGCATCAACATCCTCTACACATTAGCACAATTCTTCTAATCATGATGATGGGCTAAAAATCTGAACTGGTTTGCTCCCCACCCAGCCCTCCATGTCTAGGCAAAGTTCCCACCCATCCCCCATGCTTGGCTCTTGACCTCAGACTGTCTTCCTCCACCCCAGCCCCCAACATGCACATAGTCAAAGCGGCATATCACCATGTAATTTTGTAAGAATTTAAGGAGATTATTTCAGAAGCTCTGTTGGTTAGTTACGCATCCCCTTCTAGGCTGACCTCTGATGCCTTTTTATCCTGATTAGGAACCTGTGAGTTTCCCCAGAAATTTGACTTCAGGTAAAACTCAGTGGCATCTCTAGTTAAGAGTACCATTTATAAATGTGTCATTCAGAATGTGGATGTGTTGAAGGCTCCTTCCATCCAAACACACACACACACACGTATATAGATATATATTCAATAGTGAACAAATGACTGTGTTCTGGCACCAATGATTTTTTAAAAATGTGAACTGTAAAATTATGCTACAAAGTTTATTAAACTTTCAGGTGTTCCATTTTGACATGCTCTGATCTTTCCTTAACAATGACAGGATGCTACACAAAAATACTGCATTTCATCTGGTGTAAGTCTTTATCTTCTCTTGACAGATTATTGCTGGTTAAATTGTAGAGCTGACTTAAAGGCAGGACTCTTCAAGGGAGTCAGAAATTAAGGCTTCACCAAATGGTAATAAAGCTATTAAAAATGCAAACAGCAAACAGCTACACTGTACAGGTTAGACAGCTAATCCAAACTAGCAGTTTAAAAAAAAGCAGAGCAATTACACTTTTATTTAAATGCAAGGAATATGAGCAAGAATAGAATGAGGAGCCTTGTTTAAATGCATTCTTCTGAATATTTATTAGAAATAATATATGTAGTTAAGCCACTTATCTGATTTCAGTGAATAACTAAAATGCAAAAGATCAATTTTCATAATTATACCAAAGAAGTCTGTCTTTCATAAAAATCTCATTAATAACACCATTATTACTGAAAAATATCTCAGTATTATTATTGTTATTCTAATTATCGCAAAATGCTACTGATAATGTTGTCATAAAATTCCTTTTTAGTATCCTATTAAGGAAGAGAGACTAAATAGTGGTATAAGTTAAATCTACATCGTAAGTGGCATTATTAAAACCTTTGTGTACTTGGTTAAAATACATTATGTGTATAATTACATAAATTGCTTCAGGTTTGGAAAACAGGTCTGTATAAATGTTAGATAGATAGATATTTTAGCCACATTAAAATGCACACCCACACACCCACACCCACACCCACCCACACCCACAACCCTGTACTTAAAACCAAACTATTGTCCAAGGGGAAACAGTTTTTCAGATTCTGTTGCACTGATCCTAACTGGTGCAGAGGTCAAATCAACAAAATAGGTTATGGTGCTCATATATGTAGGCAGCTATATTTAAAAATAACACAGCCACAAACATTTGTGTTAACATAATATTCCTGCGGAGTGGAGGTTTTCATGCACCTCCACAAATATTTCGTCAAATGAAAATAGAGACATTTGTCTTACATTATATGAGAAGCAATTTCTTATAGTGGGAGGGGTAAAAAATAAATGGTGTGACCACAAACTACCATAATGTGACCTGAAGCTTAGCTATCCTTGTGAAATCTTAACTTCAGAATTTCTCTAGGACATAGAAAATGTAGCATGTTTTTAAGTTTTCAAAGAGAAAGCAGCTATTGTATTCCAATAGGGTGGATACTAGTGAAGTGTTGAGTGTGCCCATCTTTAATTCCACCCTGAGGACTGTTGTTATGCTGCTTTAGTCTTGCTACATTCTGATGTCAGCTGTTTCAGATGGTGTGTTATGCTGTCCTGGGTGCAGACATCAACAGGGAAAGACTTTGGAGCAAAAGTCCAGGGCTCCACTAAGATGAACAGCCAGCAAGGACCCAAAATGCAACAGGGCTGGCTGATCACATCTGCATAAACTATATCCATAGGAAGATAAATGCAAATCTAAAACAAATGTTCTCTTTTAAACGTTGTATAGATTGTAAATGGTTAACTGTGTGAAAGTGGGGCTTGGTCTTTTACTCCTGACTAATAATAATGATAATAATAATAATTTATTATTTGTACCCCGCGCATCTGGCTGGGCCTCCCCAGCCACTCTGGGCAGCTTCCACAAAAACCAAAAATACACTAAGATATCACACATTAAAAACTTCCCTGAACACGGCTGCCTTAAGATGTCTTCTGAATGTCAGGTAGTTGTTTATCTCTTTGACATCTGATGGGAGGGCGTTCCGCAGGGTGGGTGCCACTACCGAGAAGGCCCTCTGCCTGGTTCCCTGTAGCTTTGCTTCTCACAATGAGGGAACCGCCAGAAGGCCCTCGGTGCTGGACCTCAGCGTCCGGGCAGAACGATGGGGGTGGAGACGCTCCTTCAGGTATACTGGGCCGAGGCCGTTTAGGGCTTTAAAGGTCAACACCAACACTTTGAATTGTGCTCGGAAACGTACTGGGAGCCGATGTAGGTCTTTCAAGACCAGTGTTATGTGGTCTCAGCAGCCGCCCCCAGTCACCAGTCTAGCTGCTGCATGCCGGAAGGATGCACGGAACTGGGGTTCAGTTAGCCATCGGCCAAAAAGCAGTTTTAGAGGCGACTATTATGGTTAATTGTCAAGTCCAGGGATTTTTCTGGGCAAAGCTTCTGCTCTGCCACTGGTGTGTGTGGCAGGGATCTTGCATGCAATAATATAAAGAGAGGATAAGTAAAGCACACACACACACACACACACACACACACACACACCATGCACCCTACACAAATGGTCAGTGGTGGGATTGCAGCTCAGTCCTTGAAGTGCAGTATTAAGCATTCTCATCTAAGGATATGGATTCCTCTGCCCCCAGTAGGACCATTAATTCCTGAGTCTAAAATTATCTAACTGTGCCACTTGTCTAGTTACTCTGTACTTCTGCTGAGTACTGAGGTATAGTAGTTGGACTAGAACCAGGAGAAACCCAGTTCAGATCCCTGCTTGGTCACGAAGCTCACTGTAGAGAGTCCCCATCTCACAGTCTTGCTGCAAGGATCAGATGGGTGTGGGGCTGCCTTGCACTGCTTGGAAAAGTGCCTTATATATGTAGTAAATCAATAAAATAGTAATTCTATTTTTTTCTGCCATTCCATGTCTGCTGCTTTGTCTGTCCCTCACCTCTCCACACTGCTGTGATGTTCCCAGTAAAATGTAAAGGTAAAGGGACCCCTGACCATTAGGACCAGTCGTGACCGACTCTGGGGTTGCGGCACTCATCTCGCTTTATTGGCCGAGGGAGCCGGCGTACAGCTTCCGGGTCATGTGGCCAGCATGACTAAGCCGCTTCTGGCGAACCAGAGCAGCGCACGGAAACGCCGTTTACCTTCCCGCCGGAGCGGTACCTATTTATCTACTAGCACTTTGACGTGCTTTCGAACTGCTAGATTGGCAGGAGCAGGGACCAAGCAACGGGAGCTCACCCCGTCACAGGGATTCGAACTGCTGATCTTCTGATCGGCAAGCCCAAGGCTCTTTGGTTTAACCCACAGCGCCAACCGCGTCCCTGTTGTTCCCAGTAATGGAGACTGATTCGGACTGGAGACCAGCTGAATTCACCAACCCTTTCCAAGTAGATATCTTGGGTTCTCTCTCTCTCTGGAACTGGCTGCTAATTGATCCTCCTGGTCTCTGGCTTCATAACAAGAAGCGAATGCTAATCCGGGTGCAGCATGTTTGCAGAGCTTTTGACTAGGTTGTGGTTTTTAGGTGCTGAGTGCCAGTGCTCGTTCTATGGGTTTTATAGTTATTCTCGGCCACTTCAGACCTCACTACAGCAGCACAGAGTGCATATGCATTTTAAACAAGACTGCAATGAGGGAGTGCACACATCAGGCCCTTTCGCTACACATTCCCCAGTTACCATAATGATGTGCATTTTGCTAGTGCTTGATAAAGATAATAAATAACTCTTAACTAATAATAATGGCTGCAAATCTGTGAGTAGATGGGACACCCCCCCTCCTACAACCCATTTTATTCAATCTCTTTTATGCATTTGTGAAAATGGAATGCCTGTATCTATGTAACTGGAACTTTATTTCTTTAATGTCAC